GCTGCGCTCTGGGTGGTCCTGCCGCCCACGAGCTCCGGGGCGAGAAAAGCCCCTTTCGTAAGTGCGGATCCGACATAAGTTGGATCCGTGTAAGTCGGGGACTGCCTGTACTGAATCTCAGAGGCATTCTTTCTTTTGATCACAAATCTCGGCAAGATCGTATGTACTGCCATACACAGGCTCACAGCTTCCTCAGCCTCTAGTTTTCTCATTGAGCCATACACCTAGGTGGGTTTACCAGTGTCCATGGTGAGCAGATTTCATAGTGACCAGGGAAACTCTGCACAGATTTCTCTCCTTCCTCCTCCAGACATTCTACAGCCATGTCTCCAAGACCACCTGATTTTACCAGTCACTGTATGTGGGCCTGGTCTCAGCTCAACAAAGTTTCTCAGCCACCTGATCAGTTCTGACAAATCCCTACCCCAGCACCATCCTGCCATTTGAGTCAGCTACTTGTAAACACCATTTCCCAAAGTGAGCACCTAGACCCGGCAACCTGAACTCACCCACTTTCCTCCTTCAGTTCCCATCAACGTGCCGGTCTAGTACCTGGTCACCACCACCTCTCTGCAGGCTTGTTTTCCTTCTACCTTGGGTATGCTCTCCTGCCTGCTGGGGCTTTTCTCTCCCTGTAAGCCTGTAGGCCTGACTTGCTTCCTCTTCCCCTTCTCCCCTTGACCAGCAATGCCATTTCTGATTCTGGGGCAATGAGGGGCAGCTTTAACCATGATTTCATTCCACAGGCTACTTAGGCACCTGAAAACTCCTGGGCTATGTCTACACTGCCCCTATTTTGTGCAAAAAAAAAAAAAAAAAAAAAAAAAAAAGGCAACTCTGTGCCTCATTTGCATAATTAACTAGGCTCTGTTTTTGTGCAAAACCCCCCTCTTGTGAAAGAGCCGTTCTTCCTGAAAAAAATGTGGAAGAACGGCTCTTGCACAAGAGGGGGGTTTTGCACAAAAAGGAGCCATGTAGACAGCTTCTTTTTGCGCAAAAGCCTCTTGTGCAAAAACAGAGCCTCATTACTTATGCAAATGAGGCGTGCCGATATTCCACATTTTACCTCATTTGCATATTTTTTACGCAAAACCGGGGCAGTGTAGACATATCCCTGGGGGTTTTTTTGCACACGATAACTTAGAAATTAACTGGCAGGACCAGTGTTCCTAATTCTTATATAAAGAAAAAATATATACCAATTAAAGCCATATTTAAAATTTAGAACAATCAACAGCAAGATATTTCCAATTTTGGATCCATAACACAAGTTTGATACTTTGCACACTGTCTTTTGTAGCGATAACGAAAATGTTCTTAAAAACTGCTTAGCCTAGCAATTAATGTTATTCTTTAAATGTCTTATGGTCCAAATTGTGAAGAGAATGAGAGAGTTAATTTCTTCCAGGAGTGTCTAAAAGTAAATATATTACTGAGAAACAAACCACACTCCAGATTGGAAGGAGATTCCTAGTGTGTTACTCTAAGGATTTGAGAGTATAAAGATCACCTCTATGATGTTCACTGAAGGCACTCAAGTTCATGAGACTGGGCCACCTTCAGAAATACTGTAGTAAAGAGTGAGTAAACATGAGCTAAACCTAAAATGACTTATCAGTTGGAAGAGAAGGACACATAGCACAGCAGATGCACAGCTGGCTGGCTGCTTAGAGCAGCATATGTTTGAATCTGTACATGTAAAAATACCAGCAGCTCCTTAAAAGATGTTCTGAGAAAGAATTAAAAAGTTCAATTGGAACCCTCCCGAGGAATCGCCATTTATGTGTAACAGCCTGTATGGCCCTACCTGGTAACCTGACCCAAAGCCCATTGGAGTCAAGGAAAGATGCTCACAGACAAGTGGGACTAAATGGAAGAACAGGTGGCCACCCTGGGACACTGCCAATTCCCACTTCCCCCAAAATTGGAGAGTTGGGAAAATAGGAAAGTTTGAAGTGTAGTTGAAGTAATGTTTGTGGTGCGACAGCTCATGTTTGTTTTTGACAGCAGGGAAAGATCCCTAATGGTCATTCTTTAGTTCTGCCACTCTAGCAGTGCCGCACTGAAACATCCAAAATTGAGTTAACTTGAATGTGCCTGAAGCAGCAGTCTCCTCCCCTGCCTGAGCAGCTCTGTGGCTACTGGTGTCACAAAGGGCTTCTTCCTTCCAGCCTTTTTAACATAGTAACTCATGAGGATGAGGGCAGATCATGAAATCTGCAGTCAACATCCTCTGAGCTTCCTTCCTCACCCACCCACCCCTCCTTCAACCTGCTTGCCTCAATGAATTTGTAAATAGTTCTGCAGAACGCAGCCCTGCTCTTCAATCTGCCAGATACTCCACAAAGAATAGTCAATAAGGAGGATGGCGAGGGAGAGCTTTTCAATCAGAGTGGCTAAGCCTGGGAGATGGGGTGAGAGCCTGCAGAGGAAAATCTACAGACTATGTTGCTGTTGGCTGGCTGGTGAGGAGAGAAGAGGATGCAAAGTAGGCAAGCAAGCAGCATGCTGACTGCTCACCCTTGTCTTTTGCTGCTGTTCTATTCTTGCCAGTAATGGAATAATGGCACCAGGATCCCTGATTCTAACCCAGCTGCTCCTGATTTCAGCTAGGACCAAGCAGCCCTTTGTATTGGCTAGGCAAGGCTCATCAAGCACAACAAAAGACCCAGGCTTGGCCTTTTGTTGTGTTTGATGAGCCTGCATTCCTTTCACTCCAGTGAGCAAGAGGGGGAGAGGAGTAAACAAAAAGCTGCCTGCATTGCTCTCACTCCTGGGTAGAGGGGAAACTGGAGAAAGTGTCCTGCCATAGTAGGAAACTTGGCCGGGGGGCTGCAATCACCCTTAAATGGCATCACTGCCCTGGATATTTCTTTCCTACGGGTGATCACTGTTCCTTGAAGTTAACTCCACTTTCTTTGTCTGCACCTAGCTTAATGGCCCTAGTTGTCACAGAGCCACCTGCAGCTTCTCTGGCTACAGCCATGGGGCCAATTGCTAATTGCCTTAGACAGCTGCAGCTACTGCCCCAGGGGGAGTGGCAATTCCAAGGCTGAGCAGGCTTGAACCTTGCAATGTCAGCACTTGGGATTCTACATCCTCAGTGCTGGCTCTAAATTGCTGTAGCCTCTGCAGGTCAGTGCTTCCCTCTGACCATGGCTTTAAGTACCTGAGATACCCGTCACTTGCAGCAGAGGCCCCCAATACCTATGCACCCCTCTGCTAGCAAACAGCTATGAAGAAAGAGCAGCCTGAATGATTTTGGAGGCTGTGGTGTCAGGAGGTTCCTATCCCTGGGCAGCAGCTTTGCAACAAGTTCACACCACCTCCCTCTGCTGTGGGACTGGGGCCCTAGAAGACAGCGGAGGTCACCCTAAAGATGTTAAATTCAGATTAATTAAATAATCAAATAGTTGATGGGATTTCCATCAACTATTCAATTAGTCTAGAAGGGCACCTCCACCTTTGAACAAGTCAAAACTGTTGAACTGTGCCTCTTGCTACAGTTCAAAAGCGGAAGCCCCGCAAGGAACGCAGGGCCAGTGGGGGCCTCCCCACGCTCCCTGTGGCCCCTGAGCCTTTGAAATGTACAAGAGCCCTCTTGTATATGTCAAAAGGAAGCCTGGCAGAGTATGCATGACCAGGGGGCCTCCCCAGCTGGCCTCCATTCCCTGCGGGGCTTCTGCTTTTGGAATCATAGAGCTGGAAGAGACCTCCAGGAGGTCATAAAGTCCAGCCCTCTGCCCCAGGCAGGACCAGTCTCAACTAAATTAACCCAACCAGGGCTTTGTCAAGCCGAGATGTAGGGATGTACAAGAGCCCTGGCTTTTCAAAAGCAGAAGCCCCGCAGGGAGTGCAGAACCAGTGGGACTCTGTGAGGAAATCACCAATGCAATATTGCTGTTTTATTTTTAAAAGAAGAAAACTAAAAAATAAAAACCAACCAAACAAAAAAACCCTGGTAATGGTGATTGAAAATAGCAACTCCAGTCCCAGTTAGCACTGGGAAGATGCCAGCATCTGTTGCCCAATTTTATCTTACTTTTTCTACAACAAATGACACTAGATCAGTATTTGGTTTTGGAGAAATGATGTAATAGCAGCCCAAATAATACTTGAACACTCCTGTCCAAATCTGGAAGGCAGGTGCTACATTCCCTTTCTGAGTATCAGATAAATCTGAAAAAAAAAGCTCATTTCTGCTTCCATTGCTGTGAAAATAGAGTCAAATCCTCCTGCATGCCAGGAATTGTACCTAAAGCTGCCCGAGCCCTCTACTTGAGCCTTCCCTCCCTTACTTAGCATATTAACCTCTCCTGGTGGGGTCCACGTACCTCCCTGGCTAAGCTTCAGATAGAGGTGCATTTGTCCACTCAGTTCCCCCAATTCCTTTTTTGGGGGCGGAGAACCAAGGTTACTAGCATCCCTAAGCCAGTCTGGGGAACGCTTTTGAGGTTGATAACTGGGCCAGAACTACTCCCCAATGCACAAATGTTCCCTACTCACAGCACCCTCCTCCCCCCAGCAGCTAGCTCACCTTTCACAGTAAGTGCTGTGCAAGGCTTTCACAGAGTTCCTGTTGCTAGCAGCCACAGGAATGCAGGGGAATGTAATCCCTTCTCTGCTCCAGGCAGAGAGCTGGCCAAGGAACTACAGCTCCCAGGGTACCTTGGGCTCTCTTAGCCCTCTTCCCATCAGGCCCTACAGGTTCCCACTGCACACTGTAGCTGGAAGGAACAGAGAGATACAGGGGGGCCTTCTGAGCTTGGGCCTGATCCTATGAAACAATTGGCCCAAGGGTAAATTCACTACTGTTTGCCCTGCTAACACAGATCAACTACATCTAGTTCAGTAGCCCATAGCCTGCTGGACCACATCACTTCACTGGTCTGTTTTGTCACGTATCCCACTTTCTGCTGTAGCAGATCTGACTATTGATCCATACTAGTCTCCTATCTCCTGCATTTTGGATTCATCTAATTTTATATCCCAACTACATCTAATCTGAGGTTGGGATATACACAAATGAGATCAAACAGAGGCCAGTGCCAGATACCTCAAAAAGACACAAAATCCTCACTGCAAAGGTGTATCCCAGCCCCCAACTGATGATCAGATTTCACCTTGAAGCAGGAGGATTGATAGCCTTAGTTATTTTTCCCACAGGTAGCATCACTGAAGCATTCAGATTCATGTAGGTGTTAAATCTCATTACTTTTACTCTGTTTTTTACCTCAATAATATCATGCAGCAAGTTACATATATTAATTGGCTAAGCAAAGTGGGGATTTATACTCAGCTCAACAGCATTTCTCTGTGCACAAACTTTCACTCAACTCAGTGGCATTTCTGTTGTCTATCTGTCTATCTATAAGTCCATAGCATATGAGGTTCTAATGAAAACAGCACACGAAAAATACCTTTAACATCTTCAAGTGACTTTCATTCAAGTCAGAGCAGAATCTTGACTGCCAACCAAGGGGAAGTGAAATGCTTGTCTTAACACGTTTTGAGGAAAATGAAAAATGAGGGGCTCTCCCCATATCACCACAATGCACTCTCATTTCCATCTTTGTGGATAAAAATGTATAATTTCCTAAAAGATACCTCCCTATCATCAGGGCTCAACAAACCGTTGCATCTACTTGCCCATGGTGAGTAGATTTCAGCCAGTCGCTCCATGCGCCCCATTCACCGGCGCTTCGTGCATGCGCGGTGCAGGGCTGGTGAGTAGCTCTCGCCAGGGTTTGTCAAGACCTGCCTATCATAAGAAATAAATTATATAAAAGAGGAAAGGAAAATATAATCGGAGAAACTGAGCCTGCACCAAACAAGAGCGACTGGGTGCTGCTGGGAGTGGGAAGGGCAGAGTGAGGGCAGCTGGCTTCAGCTGTGTGTGCTCAGTACATACCAAGCAGCTAACCGAGGGAGGTACATGTCCCCATATGCCCCACCCCACCACCTCTGCTCGGAAGCAAATGAATCTGCATTTGTTTTCAATTATGTAGTTTTCTGTTCTGAAATAATCAGTGGAAATCGGCATGAACATTTTATTTCCTTATATGTGAGGAGACCAACTGTGTAGAAGCAGATGATCTGCAGGGCAGGGTTGAGGGGCACTGGCAGAGCTGTGTGAGGAGCCCAGGGCAGGAATAGCAGGGGGCTGCAGGGTACAACAGAAAGACTTCAGCTGATCCCTGACTAAGATTGGGGTAAGGAAGAATAGGACTATAGTATGAAATGCAGCTGATAGTCACATTTTATGGAGGCATTGGGGTGATTTTTGTAGCAGAGATTTGCAGGGCAGAAATGGTCTGGATTTGTTCATTTTGGGATGCATCATCTTCATCACAGTGACAGGTGGCAATTGTCAAGGAGAAGAAGCAGGCCATTTCCTCTCAGGTTCTTTGTGATTGATCAGTGTTGCCAAATCTTGCAACTTTTATTGAGTCTTGTGCAGAGGTGAAAATAACTTAAATTTCTTATAGGTACTGTCCTATCACAATCCATCCCCCCTTGAGGTTGGGGCTCAGGGAAGTCCAGGGGGCTTGCAATATGATAGTACTTGTAAAAAATGTAAGTGTGAAGGAGTCTCAGGGAAGGGTGCTGCAGACATGGGAGGAGATGCAGGAGTTAGGGTTGCATGCTTGAGAGGCTCAGGGCTGAGGATTGGGTGGTGCAGGAATCAGGGCAAAGGTCAGGGAACGTGGAGGATGCTAGAATCAGAGCTGGGATGAGGAAAGGCTCAAGATGGGTTGGAGTGTGAGAGGGTGTAAGAGTCAGGGTAGAATGTATGAGGAGCTCTGGGCAGAGGGTTGGAGTGT